GCCGCCCCGCCAGTGACCCGCGGCAGGCACTGCTGCTCGCGGCCGAGCGCTTCCCTCCCGCTCGGTCTGACAGGCTCCGCCCGCCCCGCGGTCAGAAACTGAAACTTCAGTTACTGAAATTCAGGGTGACCTAAATCACGGATAACCTTATCGCTGTCTGATCACTCTCCATAAAAAAAACTCTTCCTGATATCCAACCTAACCCTCCCCTGGCAGAGCTTGAGTCTGTGCCCTCTTGTCCTACTGCTGGTTGCCTGGGAGAAGAGACCAACCCCCACCTGACTCCAACCTCCTGTCAGGGAGTTGTAGTGGGTGATAAGGTCTCCCCTGAGCCTCTTCCAGGCTAAACAATCCCAACTCCCTCAGCCTCTCCTCATAGCACTTGTGCTCAAATCCCTTCACGAGCCTCCTTGCTCTTCTCTGGAAGTGTGATTAGACATTGGAATGTGCTGCCCAGGGAGGCAGTGGAGTCACCATCGCTGGAGGTGCTTAAGGAGACAGAAGAAGGAAAGGGAGGGAGGGGAAAAAAAAAAAAGCCTTAAGGTGATGTTCAAGTCCACCTGGAGCACGAGCAAGCATCTCAAATTTCAGAGAGTCTTACAGCCACTTCACTTAGATGTTCAATGAAATGAACATATCCTGATTTACCTTACACTAGGGTGCATTATAGTCAAGAAAACATAGTAAACATGGTAACAGAAGAAACTTTTTTATTTTAGAAAAAGGAGACAAAATTGGAGCTGTGCCCAACAGACAAAGTGGTTAAGGTTAAGTTAAATGCAGTTAATAGAACTATTCCAACACACAGAAGGGAAACAAAACTTGGTATTCCTGCTTAAATCCTACCACATACTGGTAAACTAATGTCTTGCAGAACATTCTGTAACTTTATTTTACAAAGTTTAAAGTTGTAAATGAAGACAATATAAAACAGATCTTGTGTATTTCAATTGTAGTTAAGAGTAACATTTCCAACTTTTCTTGCAAGTTTCAAGATACATATATATACACAGACATAAAAACAAGAAATGAACAAAAGAGTTGGAGTAAAATAGCACCAGCCTTCCAGAGTAAGGAAATGGACAGCCTGACACTGTCCCCTGCTCCTCACCAGTCCAAAACCAATTTTAATGTTGCAAAATGTAGCACTTCAAGCTCAGGGAAATCACAACTGAGACACTGCTTAAAGGCTGGTCCAATTCCAAACGCTACATTTGGCTATTCAAGAAACTTGTGGATACCTAAATTCACATTCCCATGTTCCTGCTCCTGAGCATCACAATCTAATCCCTGCATCTCCTTGGACAAGAAGATCTGCTCAGTAAGCTCTTCCCCTGGCTGCACCTGAGTTGCACAGAATTCACATTCTCAAATGCCACACTCCTGCCCAAAAACACATGCAAAAACCCAATTTCAAGGCATTATTGTTTCCTTCCACTGAAAAATTGCACAAGGCATGAAAACAAGCCATCAAAACAGTAGTTAATCTTAACAGTTGTTTACTTCCTGGAAGAGTTCATACACTAATGCATTGTCTTTATTAAAACTACACAGAAGCTTTGTAGTGGAAATTGTTTCAGACATTCATTGCTCAATAGAGATGTGATTTGCTGACTTTCCAGCCCATTGTTTGAGGCCTTTGCACAGCTCCCTGGATACTGATACTTCCATTGAGTCCTAAGCATTTGCTGCTTCTAACAATCAGCCTTGGTAAACTTCCTTTTAGGTTATCATACCTCACTGAGACAGGAGGGACTTTTCCCTCCTTTAGCAAGAGGGAAGTGAAAGAAGGAAAGAAAAATCTCTCAAGTTGGAGGGGAATAAAAAAAAATATCAATACTGACTGGGCAACAATTAGAGAGAAAACCTAAACATCATTCACCACTTGCTATACACTGACTGTTTGTGAACATCCTCTGTAAAGTTTAACACCTTCTTGATTTACTGTTTGCTACTAATCACAGTCACTATTTTAACTACTTTTCAAATACTTAGTCAAGTATTAAGCCTGTTTATATTAAGTTCAGGGGAATGTGCCCCATTTCTTATGTCTTTTTCCCCTGAATTATTTGAAGAGAGAAAGAGACACGGGGAAAGGTAATATGAACTGTGGGATACATACAACAACTTAAAATACTGTTCCTACAGTACCTCATGCAGACAACTTTCCATACTCACAACAGTATGTTTAAACATAAGGCAAACGGACACTGGAGGCCACTAAAAAGCTCATTTGTGTATTTCCCTTTATGAAGTAAAAGTCCAACTTCATTTAAGTGCTATAAAAGTAATCCTAACACATAGTATTGTGAAGAACGGTATTTTTAAAAAGGTTTTGTTAACAAAGCTTGTTTGTCCAACAATCTGTTCACAGAATTTACATTTTTTATGCTGAAAGTAAATTTAAAAAAAATTTATTTCCAGAGAGACACTGTTTTACTGCAAGTCTTGCTACAGTTGCTTGAGCTGGTGCTTCGACAGAACTGCAGTCTGTTACTTAGTATAGCAGCCACTGTTTCTAGAATCCTTAAAAACAGCAAAATTCCCAAGGCAGATTTGTCAGGAAGCTGTAAACAAATCATTTTCCAAGACTTATTGGCAATAAGCAAAGTGATCTTTAACCCTTTAAGTTTCACTGCCAAATTGAGATTTTGGAAACTGTGGAATCTACTTCCAAATTAATACTCTGGAGCCGTATGGAAACTTGTTTCTGAGGAAGAGTCAACATCTATTTCCAACGCAGACTCGTCAGAATTTGGGAGAAAATTAGGGTAGGAGTTGAAGTCTGGATGCTCTGGCATATTAGCAGAAGCATTTGCCATGGCTGAGTGCATGAAGCAGGAAGATTCCCAGAGCCAGCTCTCGATGTGCGCAGAGGAGTGAGGCATTTTGAGGTGGCAGTATGAGGAATGGAATTCCATAGTAGATGGGACAGTTTGACATTTCCTTAGTGAGGCATAATTGTCTTTCCTGTTTAAAAAGAAAGAAGAGAAAAACATTACTAGTGTTTCAATGACATTTCCACCACTGTTCAGAAGTCCAACAGGGAGGTTTCATATAAGGAAGAAGACAAGAGGGAAACAGTTATCCCTAAATGCACTTAGTGGGTTAGGATTTGGGACAACAGGAAAGGGAACTTGAAATGATCATGCCTAAAAGAGGAGCACTCTGCCACGACGCTGTCCTCGGAAGGAGGTATAAAATAGTTACACTAGAAGTCACAACACCCTGATAAGCTCAGTAGGGTAATGCAGTTTGTACATTACCTCTCAAATATTCCTGATCTCCCCCCAGCTATCCACTTAGAATATCTGCCAATTTACCAATCACAGCACTGACTGAACATTAATAAGAACAGTCTCAACATCTACAAGCTGAGTAGCAAACATAGTTGTACAACTTCTCAAAGGCCATCTCTGCATTCTACTTTACAATCATCTGATTACCAACAACCTGACAATCAGCTAATGATCACCAACCTGAACAACTGGATCAGAACTTTTCTAAACCCTAAATGAGCACCTGAATCACCAGGTTTGTGTAACAGTCCTTGATCAGGTAAACAAGAAGGACCAGAAAACAGAATTGAAGCCGTAAGAATTGTTTTGTGTTAGGCTTGAGAAAATGATTAAATCCTGCTATGAGAAAGAAACCTAGCACTTGAAGCTCTGCACTCCACTTTACCTGGATGTGCTGAACAATTTGCTTTTAGCCTGGGAATAAACTGTACCAGCGATCCGAAAAAGCTGTTCTTGCATCCATCGAACATCAGCAGGCATGTCAGGAAACCAGTTTACTAGCCTACAAGCAAAATCAAGATATATTTTTTGTAAGCAGAATATCTAATCTGTGTCATATTTTTACACAACATGTCCCACATCCAGCACAGCTTTTATTTGCCCCAAGTTAACGCCCCCACCAAGGCCTCCATTTTTTCCCAGCCTCCCTGAAATCCCATCTAGCACTCTCATCTCTTTCTTGTAAGTTAAGGAAAAGGGCAGTACAGATCACTGCATCTCTGAGTTAATGCTGAGCAGCTGACCAATATGTGCATTCCATACCACACGACCAACATTTAGGAAGCTTGCAAAATATTCCTGTTTGTGTCCTAAGAACTTTCTGGTCAGTTTAAAGCTGGGTGGAAGAGGAAGGAAGAAGAAAAACACAATAGAAGAACAAATAGAAGGCAGAAACAAAATGTCCCAAATGTAATTTTTTCCTTACAACACCCTTAACAGCAGTTACACTGAAGTGGGACAAGGGGGAAAATCCCACAAAAAAAAAATCTGTGGAAACTTGCTTCCTCCCCAGCTACCAAAAATGGCACAGAACTGCCACATTAATTGGCACAAACAAAATACTTCACTGGAGGTCTATGTGGTTTCATTTACAGAACATTTGATTTGCCAAGTGTTTTCTAAAAATAGAATTCCAGTCCTTGAGCAGCAGATGCCATGACTCTTACGCAAGCACACAGCTCTGGGTTCATGGTGCCTTCATTTAGCATTTCATTTAGGAAGTGAAGGACAAGAACTGAAAAAATTATCAAATTCAGCCCTGTTCAAGAGCACAACTTTCAGTCAACCTGAACAAAACTGGTAAGAGAATTTATAATGGTGAGCAAACAGTGGATTTCATTCCTGACTTCAGGAAAATGCTAAAGCACAAGAACTATGTGGATAGAATTCCAATACCACTGCAGAATATAGTAATAAATAATGTACTCCTGGAAAGCACAACTAAAGGTGCTTCCTTTGTGCCTCTACCAAACAGCCTTTAGTAATAAGAGTGTATTATTTAGGAATATTCTTAATATGTTTACTTACCTAGTCTTAGACTGCACAGGCTTTAGGAGGATGCATCATGTAGGCAGAAATAATGGTCTTTTGACAGTTATCCCTTGAATTCTAGAGTACCAGAAATTCTACAACACTGAATGAGCTAACAGTGAGTACATTTCCAAAACGATAATTCTAAAATGGTTCATTAAAGGTTCCTTACCTTATAGCGACTGAGTAAGCAGACTCCACTGGTAGTGTGTATGGTAGCATCAGGTAGGAGATCACCCGCATTGGGAACAGCTTAGAGAACTGAGCGTAGAACCCATTCTGTTCTTTGCAAGCTTCCTGCAGTGCTTAAGAATAACCATTTTGGAAAAGATGTTAGACCATTTGAAAGCAGGGTGAACAATTTTCTCAGAGTTTGGCAATCTTCACTCAACATTATCAAGTGTTACTGAATAAGGCTCAAGAATTAATCTCGGGGCACTTTTACCATAAACCTTCTCCGTGCTATTTTAAAATATGGGAAACACAGACTCATACCACAGGGACAAAAGGCACTACCCAGAACTTTTAAGAAATAAGCCTAAGAATTAATTTCCAAAAACAAAAATCAAAGTTTGCCTTTCAGAGTTACAGGAAACAACCTGAAGAATGCACCTTTACGAAGTCTGGGAGGTAGACTCTCAAATATGCTCTTCTCCAAAGGCCATGGATTCTGCTTCAGCTGGTCATTAAGTATTTCCATCTTCAAAGTTTCTACTCTGTTATTTTCTGTCAATGCTCTTCTCTTCACACAGTCAATATGTTGTGCAGCTTCGTGAGGATTTCTTCTCGTGAAGGACAAGTGGATATAAATTGAATCATTCAGAATACCTGAAAGAGTCAACAGCTTTCACTCAGGTTTGACCCATGGGTCTTCAGAGGACCTGTATAGCACCTGTGGGTCTGTACAAAGACCTATCCTGAGGGAACATCATCTACCCAATGTCAAATACACCTGCTCCTAGAATCCCACAAATGTTTAATCACACTGATGGCTCCTTTGAATGTTTAGGTCTTACTTAAAACAGGTTCTAAAGAAAAGGAAAAACCGAACAATTAACTGAAACTGCACTGGAAACATAGAGCCATTTACCAAAGTTAAAGGAGAGGAGGAAACCTGATTTTATATGTATCTGAAAGAAAACACCCAAAGCACATCAGGTATCTGGCAAAGTTGACATGGCAGGTATCAGTACTCTGAGGCATTGCTACAACAGGGCTGAAAAGGAAACCAAGTAGGTTACAGGATGTTTAAAGGTATATTCAAAGCACAGATCTAAATCAACATTGCAAAACTGGTGCCAATTAAGAAATAGCACTGATAATTACCTCAGAAACAAGCACCAGATAATGAGTACAATGTGAAAAACCCAAGAAGGGTATTTATATTTGTTTCCAGAAAATCATTATAAAAACATATATGTAAAGACTGCCAGATTTGACCACAATCCAAACCTACATACTGGAGAATCTGTACCCTACAAGTACTACTAAAAGACAAATATTAAAAAAGTTATTTCAAGTATCAGAGATAGGGAAAAATTAATTCCTACAATTGAAATAACAAGAATAATGAATGACCTTGGAAAGGTTATAATTATCATTGATTAGCCTGATACAAAACAAACCCGTGACAGAATAAAAACAAGGTTGATCATATGACTAGTAGTGTGAAAAGGAGGATTATAGTGTAATACAGAGAGGACATGGGGCAAAGAGACCAAGGAAGAATTGCAAGGAATCTCAGATATTAGTGTCAGATGGAAACATGCACACAGGAAACTTATGGGTGCAGTAAAGCAACAGAATCCATCTCAGCAGACAGCCACAAACAGAAGATACAGGTGTCACAGGAGTGGGAAACTATAGCCTATTCCCATCCTTCACAATTAGCACAAGAGAAACTAACTATACAATTTGCCTAGAATTTAAATTCTTTGGTAGTTTCACTTAACATTCACTTCACACAAATTGGACTAAACCCCAAAAAGTTCAATTTCTGTGTGGTAACACAACTTACCTCAGGTGAACTACAACTATGTGATATTTACAAGAAGTAAACTTGTCATGATCCCTTAAAAAGCCTCAAAGACCTATCCCCATCTTGGCTATGTACCACTCCTCACCCTTTTTATTTGTTTTGGGGGGTTTTATCTTTTTTTAAACTCAGGTTAAGAACATATCATCAACAATTATCTCCAAGTTTAACATACCATGCTCTTTCAAGAATTTGAGAGCATCCAAATATCCTTGCTCACAGATCTCTCCTAGTACCTGCAAACACAGAGGAAATGAGTCAGACAAATAGTTTCAAATTGAGATCAACAATTTTCAGACTAGAAAGCCACTTTCGTCCACCTTCCACTCCTGTAAGAAAAACTTACATTAACAATTGCTATAATTCAGCAGATTCGGGTTAATATGTGATGATGCACACATGACCATGTGTACATGAACTCATCTTTCAACAACTACAGATGCACTGAATTTTCTCACCCAACAGGACAGCACTCTGACAGTTTGCAAGACTTCCCTCCCCTTTTGTTTGACTAGCCCTTCAGCAGCTGCTCTCAGCAATGAAACAGGGTGCTTTGGAGTCTGCTCCTTTCCTAATGCTTTTCACTTCCCAAAACTTTGAAAAGTCAGCTGTGCAATTCCCATGCTCAAATTCAGACTTCCATATAAAAATATCTCACCAGATGCAATTCCAGGTCACCTACACAGTGGTCCTAGTCAAAAAAAAGTAAAAATTAAAGCTTACATAAGTAGAATTTAACATTCTTCTTGAAGTGGTCAAAAGTGCTCAATTAAAAAGATGCATTTATAGCGGTCAGAAAAATTACTTCTCTGCTATAGTATATCCCAAGCCAATTGAAAAAGGTCTGTTTTCCATTTTTCAGCTTCCACAAAAGCTATTCAAGAGCATTTCCCTCATTAGATCTGCAACTCACAGCACTTAGCAAAGTTTAAAGGCAACTTGCCTGTGTCAAGTATTCATTAAGAACTTTACAGAATCATGAAGCTTTAAAAAAAAACTTTTACATAGTGAAGCAGCTTGTTAGCAGGTAAACATGGAAGGACTACAAACTGAGAGCTATTGATTTACCAGTGTTGATTTTATGATTGACTCCTGTGATAATTGCTACACAAACACTGAAAGGCAATAGCAGAACATGCATCTGGTGTTCCCAACACAAGGAGGACATTGAACTGTTGGGCAAGTCCAGAGGAAGCAATGAAGAGCACAGGAGCATCTCCCCTATGAAGACAGGCTGAGGTTGGGACTGTTCAGCCTGGAGAAGAGAAGGTTGTGTGGAGACCTCAGAGCAGCCTATCAGTATCTGAACAGGCTACAGGGAAGCTGGAGAGGGACTCTTGGTTAGGAACTGCAGTGATAGGGCAAGAAGTAATGGGCATAAATTGGAAGAGGGGAAATTTAGATTAGATATTAGGAAGAAATTTTTTATTATGAAGATGGTGAGACACTGACACAGGTTGCCCAGGGAGGTGGTGGATGCCCCAACTCTGACAGTGTTCAAAGCCTTGAGCAACCTGCTCTGGTGGGAGGTGTCCCTGCCCATGGCAGTGGGGATGGGACTAGATCATCTTCACAGTCCATTTCAACTCCTTAACATTCTACGAGTCTATGGCTTCTAGTCTGAGAGAGACTAAAACCGAAGAGAATGAAGACAAGCCATGAAAAAAAACGCAACAAGAAACGTCACCAGACAAGTTTCTAAGACTAGATGAAATGCTAAGATTCCTGCGGCCTTCTACAAAATCAAGACTTCCATATAGACAGATTAACTGCAGGAAGGCAGTGCCTTACCTTAGGCTCTGGTGGAAAGAGAGCTTGTGTTAAACGGTAAAGGTTCCCCAGACTGAACTGAATGCTGGTGTTGGTCACATTCATCTCATGGAAGTTGGCAGACTTGCCCTTGGGGCAGATGTCACACTCCCCAGCGAAAGGGGAAACCGTGATGGTATTCTTGCACTCATAGTGAGGTAAGTTGTCACTGATTCCTCCGTCCACATAGCGCTACAAAAATTAACAGAAATAACAAGTCTCAAAGGCTGAAAATTTCTAACTAGCAAAATTCCCATGCAGGAATGAAATAGTACTTAAGACTGTAACAGAACAGTCTTTGTTTGTGCTCCCAGGCTAAATATTTTGAGTAACATGCTTTGTCCTCTAATGCCAATTGAAAAACATTCCTACCTACATTTCTGCAGTTAGACCAAAATCTGTTTTGTATTTTCCATATGTTTATGAAGGAGCAAGTGAATTTTAAAGACCACAATCCTACACAACATGCACAGAAATAGTAGTCCAGCTGTCTTCTCTTCCTCAAAAGAGAGCACCAACCAGAGAGCTAACAGGGTACATCTTTAGGAAGAATACAAGTAAAATAATAGCTCTACACTCCAAAGCTCAAGTTCTGAGACAGTAACAATTCAGTTAGAATGAGTAACTTGAAATTACTCTTTGTAATTTGAATTTGATAGAAAAGCCTCAAAAAGATTTGGGCATTAAGAAACTGCAAATCAAAATGGACAATGCTTCAGCAACTTTGCCAACAGTCATGAGCATCTGTTCTGCTTTGAGTGCAATTTCCAGGTTATGCTTTTGTCTCCTGCACATGGAATTGCCCATTCCTGTAGTCTTAGAGCGCCACCACCTCAGACACTTTAGGAACCAAAGAGATCTGTTTCGCAGTAACTGACCCACAGTGCAGCAGCTGCAGTGGCTAAAGACTCCCTCCACTCACTCACAACATCCACTTTCCAGTGAGGCCATGTGGAGCCAGTTTGTTCCGACAAACACAAAAGACCACCAGCTTCGCTGGTTTAGTGCCTGCATTTTCCTTTTCCCTAACCAGTCAGCAGACGAACTATAGGCCCTTGTAAATGTAGCAGAGCAGGTGATTTGAGCAGGACTAACCTGCATTAACAATTTCACCTGCCTTGGTACTCACTCTCTGACCATTCTGAGAAACAAATTAGGAAACAGGAAGAGAATAGCTCAGAGCAATTCATCCAACATGCTCTTCCAGAGTAGCCTGTTCCTACCTGTCAGCTTCCTCGGACACTCTTTAGACCCAGCAGCATGCAGCCACTGCCAAACTTCAGGTGTGTAATGCAACTGCTAAAGTACAGGTGCAGTCATCAAGTACTTTGTGGAAGCATCAAGCACAATACAACAGGTTTGGCAAAGGAGGAGCCATAGCATGCAGCCTTCTCATGAAATTATTGAAAGGTGCAAGTACACACCTCAGTCACTGATTTAAATTATTTGGAGTCTCTTCCCAACTGTACCCCCAAGTAAATTTCTTAATCTAGAATCATTGCTGTTTCTGAAAGGAGTAAAAAACCCAAACAAAACCCACAACACCCAAAAGCTTCACAACTAGCAGTTACACACACCTATTGAATGCTGTCCTTGAGTCTCTGTTTTAAAGTATACACACAGGAACACCAAGCCAATAAACAGCAAGATGCTATAAAATTTACATACTTGGCATTCTATTGTGCTTAAGCCTATAGGAGTCATGCCAAGCATATGCAACTGTGGTATTCTTATTACCAAGTTACATCCAAAAATGCCTCCTAAGCATTAAATCATATCAAAATAATTAAGATTAAAGGGATGCCATGATTCTTTCCTCAAAATAAGACCAAATAGAGCATCATTTCTATGTTTTTGTACTCTGAACTAAGCATTTTAAAATGACATTGTTGTCTGGCAACAAGAACCAAACAGCCAGATTAGCCACCTAAACCTTGGATTCAGTCCAAGGTCCTGTTTTCATAACACCTCTAATCTAGAAGAGTTTAAGGAGACATGCAAGGTTTAGAAGTACAGCTAAAGAAAAATCCCTATTCAGTTCTAATCACTTTTCCTTAAATTTCAGCCTAAAGAAGAAAAAATGTTTCCTATCCTTGACCTTTTAGCACTTCCAAATTGCCTTGAGAACACTAATCAACACCTTTTAAAGATGTTTAAGGTTTTCTTTCAGTATTCTTCCCTTCTCCTTGTGTAAGGAGCACCAAAGTTGGAAAGAAAGCAAACACAAGTTAATACAACACTGTAACAAAAAGCCAGGAATGTCACTGCCTTGATAGGCAAGGCATGTCTGCTTCCAGACCTGCAACCTGAACACCTACACCAAACTGTGCTAACTTCTCTGCAGCTTTTGTCTCTTTAAAGGGGGATTTTAGAAAGCTCAGCATGTCCATGAAGTACTAAGAGGGTTTACAACCAGCAGTTGCTGTGAAGTAATTGAACAGATAAATATACTGACACTTTGCCTTTAAAAAGCAAAACTTCTTACATGATACAAATGCCAGAAGACATTGAAAAGCTAATTGAACACAGAACTTTAATCCATTTGTAAGGCAGAACTACTTCTAGCCACAACATGAAGATATACAATGAACTATCTTACGAGATTCTTTATTTTTTCCGAACAAGTGACCCTTCCTATAATAAATATGTGCAGGCAAATAAGCATCACTTTCTTCAATAAATATTTATCCGTAAGTTAAATACTTTTAATCAGGGAATACTCTCTTCTTTTAATTAATGCACCTTTGGGGTGGAGGGGGAGAAAGAAAGAGACAGCATGTCTGTTTTGCAGAGTGGAGAAGAAATATGTAGGAGATCTTCCACACATTCAGTGTTTCTTTGCTTTTCTGAAAAGTTCTTACAGCTACAGTACTGGAACCTATGATGATGGCATTTATTTATTTTACATATACATTCTTTCTCAATATTTTCAGAATAGCTAGAACTACCTTGAGGTCTTAACAATAAAGACTTACCACACCTCTAAATGATGGTGGAATTAGGCCACAATAAATAGGGACAAACGAACTACAGATTAAAGCCTGTAAGAAAATGAGAACATATTAATGAAATGTTAACTGTTCCATTACTGAAAGTAATATTAATCTTTATTTCTTTAGCTGTTATCAAAAACAACCAAGCAAGGAAGCAAAGAAATCCCCAGCATGATCACTTGAATAAAAAGTGGGAAAACAAAAGAGCATTATTTTAAACAGGATGAAGGTATTCCACATCTTTTTTAGCCTGTAACCATGCTCCATCTGTAACAATTGTCAGACTCACTAGAAGACTATTTCCAGAAATGGTAATCAGCAAGGAAAAGTTTATGACCATTCATTCAAGTTACACATTTTCTGGGTAATCAAAGTAGTAACTGGGGACGCACTATCAACACCCTGGGATCATGTTAAACTAGCTTTGTAATTGATATTAAGAATTTTTAAAGGCTATATTTAACTGTTTCTTGATCATTGCTTTTTTAAAAATGATCTTAAAAAATTCTTATTCACTAAGGATATAGTTTCATTAGATACACTGCACTTTAAAGGCATTTATCCTCTCCGTGACTGATCTATTGCACTTCCTCCCTAAAACAGTTCACAGACTTATTGACTGGGAAAACTAGTATGTGAATTTAGTATAATAGAGCTGGAATTCATCTTTAAATACTGTCAATGTCACAACATCCTAAAATGTTTGAAGTGGAAATTCAAGAGATGATGGTAAAGGGACTCAAGAATACAGAAACTTTTAAAAGTTGCCAAAAATAAACATACCTGGATAACTTCTTCTTTAGAGTTAAAATTGGATATCAATGCATTTTTGCCATCTGATGCTCTGGTTAGTGAAATACACAGTCTGCCTGATGACAACTGGTGAGTGTTCTCTGGAAGATTTCTTATCAGTCCATCTCTTATTATCTTCATCACGTTAAAGGAAGGATGAAGAGGACCAAGATTTCGCTTTCTTGCTTCTTTGGCTAGTGCCAGAACATCTGCACAAGCTTGAGCTGAAAAGAAAATGCATTTCATTTAAGAACAGAAGATATGTCAAAACCCAAAAATGACACTTGAACTAATAAAGCATGTCTAGAGCTCCAACTTCTCTCTCTGATCTCTAGGATGAGAATGGCAAAGCTTTTTAACAGATAAAATAATTGTCCATTACTGTTTAACAGAGTTTAGGAGTTTTCTGATGGGGAAAAAAATAAAAATCACTTTAGACTTCAAAAAAGAACTTCTGGTGAAGACTGAGTTGCTTGTATGTTATTTAAATGTAGATTCTAAATGTGAAAGACCTATAGAAGATGCTTCCATCAGGAATTATTCATTTCAGAAGCACATTCTTTTAAGGAGAAACAAAGATGAGTGACCTTCCATAAGCAGGTACACATGGTCATATTCCACATGTGACATCCATAGAAACCTACAGTATTTAAGGCACAGGTTTAAGCTCCACAGTTGTTCTTGCTTCTTCGGGTGAAGAATCAGAGCACCTGTGTTCATCACAGCTGGCAACACTAGTTGGACTTGAACCAAACTTAAGGTTTCAGGGCACCAGTTATCTCCATTGAGGTATAAACACACTAAAGGAGACATGAATGTGACATCTGGTAAAGATTGTCAGGAGGGAAGTTTTTAAAGCAGTGGGTAAGGAATGTGGAGATCACCTGTAATACATCATACAGGTCTCCACCTAAATAGGCGCATTTTTATATCATAATTAAATCTGTGTCTGGTAACTAGATGAAACCACTTCAGAAGACATGACTGCTCCTGAAGAACACTCCAATCATTTTAACAACCACACACCTAGTCACAGGAGGAACAGCAGCTCATCCACCTGCTATGCTCTGTTTGAATTTATAATGTCACATTTCTCCAGGACATACTTTGTGGAAATTGTCTGATTAGCTTGTCAGCTTGGTAGAGGAAAAGTGGGGGGAGGAAGGCCAAAGTAACAGGCTATCAACCTGAGTGATAAACTGCAAGGTCATGTAAAAACATTTTCAGAACTTACATACTTTACCTTACTAGAATAGAGGGGATTCAATTTATCAGTTTAATGTCAGCACTGCACTGGAAACAATTCTGCTTAAGCCTCTGAGTTCAGATTTATTTCCAAAAATATTACCTTTCTACAATGTTATTTTTTCCCCTTAAATAGCAATATCTAAACATTTATCACTCTTAATCAAGAGTGTATGTCAAAACAGACTCTCTGGAAATGTCTGAGGTATCAGCTGCAGTTCATTTTCACCACTATAATTTTTTTCATTCCATTCTCAGAACAAAGCCTCAGGCCACTGATATCAGTAGCCTAAGCCCACTTCCTATCCCTGAAGACAGCAAACAATTTAGACACAGCTCACTGTTCATGGTCAAAAATATGTTTATCTAAGTAAAACACATTTTAGATGCATATAAAAAAATTGTACAGGTCACATTTTGGCAAGTGAAGCAGTTATTTCCAAAAGCAGTATGTAAGCAGTTCTAGCAGTTCTGATTTTTATGCATTCAGATATGAGTTTCCACCTTCCTTTTTTTAATTTAGCAATGCTCAATCTTCTAAACTTTCTAAAGACAGGAATCAAGTATGTTGCAGGAGCAAGATACTGAACCACCAGAACTCTGGCCAGGAGAGCAGTCTCTGAGCACAAGAATTAGTTGTCTTTTGTGAAGTAAGTACATTTGTTAAAAATTATGCACCAAGCAAGTAAATTGCTTGCTCTAAAACAGACCAAGGGCAAACAACAACATACACATGCTCCCACTTCTGTGCCAGCACTTGACCCTGTTTTTCTAGATAGCATCCTGTCAAACTCAAGCTCAAGCTATTCCCTAAGTCTGAAGCATGGTAACATCTTCACTCAGTTACACTGCAGGCCTACTGCTGCAGAAAAAATAACCAAACCAGTGCCCTCTATTAACCTTGTATTGTGATTATTTACCTCTCACCATAAAAAACGTCAGCCAAGTATCAGCTCACATTTCTATACCCATTAAAGGGCAGCAAAACCAGCGACCTCTAACAGTTTCAATTTGAACTTGTCTCACTTCAGCCTCCTTTCAGAAAATAACCACCCATCAAAACTCAATTTGATTTAGCAGTTTACCCATCTCCTCCACACACAGGAATTTCTACACCAGAGGTAGTCTATAGAGGAAAAAAAAGTAAGAAAAAGAAAGGTTACATATTTTGCTTATTGCAACCTATTTTAAATATGAGAAGATTTGTCTACCCAAGAGAATGTGATATTAAAACACTGAAAATTTAAAAAGCTTTTAATTATTAATTCCACAGACTTGTTGAATTAAAAATATTCCAACTTCTTTTTCTTCTCCCTTCCTTCCTCCACAGGATTAAAACACAGTTACCTCTGGTGTATTCCAAAATGGGAATGCCACAGAAAGGGACAAAGGGCTAGACCTTAAGTCAGACTGGGATTTTAGGCAGACCTTGGTATGTCTGTTTTATTTTTGAAACACAGGAGAGCTAAAGAAAATAATGTTCCTATTAAATGTGAACTGTTTCTATTTCTATATTCCTATTTTTAATTATTACCCAATTAGTAATTCCTTTTGCACAGAGTAAAACCTGTGCAGTTTACTCCACAGAGTAAAACCTGACACCACATTTGCAGCCTCTACTAAACCTGTTCTCTTTAGTGCCCCACTAGAATGGATCATCACAGCACCACCAAAGCACCAGATCTGCATGTGGAACATCTAACAAGAGGAGTGCAACTTAACCATTACAGTTTGGAATAATGTGGAAATACACTTCATCCTCAAAAGAACAGTCACCTCTAAGCCTCCCAACCTCCCCCAAACTAAGTGAAAGAAACCTCTTGGCGCATCCAAAAAAGTACTTTTTTCCCCCCCATTCAATGGCTAATGTGTAATCCTACAGCCTCTCTGACTACCCAACATGCAGAAAACCCTTTATTTCAACATCCAGCTCCAAGCCTGCAAGAGATGAAATATGCTCTTCAGTTTTAGCCAGAACCCCTGTCCACAGACACTCAGAGTCCTACATGTACCAACAACTGTACTAACTCAGGGCTGGGTCCAGTCAGCTCTTGAACACCTACAAGGATGGAGGTCCCACAATCTCTCTGGGAACCTGTTCCATTATTTTACCACCCTCATGGTAATTGCCTTTTCCTTGCACCTTATCTGAATTTACCATGTTCCAGCTTGTCTGCTGCCTCTCATCCTTCTACTACTCATCTCCGAAGAGTTCAGTTCTGTCTTCCCACAGTAAAATACAACTGTGAAAACAGATGGGATTTACTTGTACCTGTAACTGCAGGAACATCAAGTACTGCATATTAAGGGATATCTTTGTAAGGGACACATACAATACAAACCTATGAAATACATCATATTATGGTACCATGCATTGCTTTTTTTAAAGCTTATTTACAACCCTCTGCTCTCACACAAGCTCACAAGAAGTTACAGCTAAAGGCTCAGAGTTAACATGGGAATACCTTCTTCATTTATCAGCTTACAATGATTCACAGATTTTTAGAATGTGGCTGGTTTTGAATTGTCTTCCAGCATTCCCAAGTGGTGTCCTTTTTTCTTTAAATTTCCAGAAGAAATGCACTACCTTGGGACAGTGACCACACAAGTACTAGCCATTCTGTTAGTTAGAGAAACACAAAAACCTCAGCTGGCACATGAGAGGGGAAAGACAAGGCTATAATTTGAAGTCTGCAACCCTCAGTGCTAAGAATGCTAAAAAATTTAAAAGCTGTTAATAACTCATACTGTCAGGCAAACAATATATGCTTTCTGTCCTTAAGAGTGCTTCAAATATCTAAAGCAGCTTCCTTCTTAAATAATTTACAATGACTTAAGTTAAGACTGGGTATTTCATAAAAATAAAAGGCTGTTGGGGAAGAATATGATTTGTTTTAAAAGCTCATATTGGGCTCAGTATAACTCAAGGATTTCACTGCATTACTCCCTTGCACACACAACGACCTTCTGTTTTAGTCAGTGAATTGCTCCCTCAGAAATTTAAAACCAAAATCCATAAGCCTCTCAAAAATCAAAATAAGTACTCATTGTTCTCCTCTAAGATTAAATTTGAACTAACAAAACCTTCTGGTTCTATAGCACTCAAGGGTACTGCTAGCCAGAACTATCCATGTCAACTCATGAACTAGACAAGCTTTTATTCAGTGGATTTCTTTCATTGGAAAAAATGATTTTCAGATTTCCAGGTATTTCATCCACCTTTTAAAACTGCAATCCAGTCACTATCCTAAATACCTCAAATGTTTTGATAGCTTGTATCAAGCTGGCTTTAATCTCTAATTCACTACAGGAATGAATATTCGGGTTCTCATGAGCCCTAAATAGGTAAAGGCAAGGTGTGCTCTTCCTGCTGTTAGAAAATAAGCACTTACTTCATAAGACTGACTATATTTAGTTGCCAACATCTCTTACGTAGTATAAACACAAAACAAGATTAGCTCTATTGTTTAGACCACAACTAAAATCAGTGATTTTAATCAATCCATGGTTTCTACTCATACACCTAAGCGACTTCTGCAACATACACTGCCCACAGATTACAGAGGAAAAGCATGTTAAAGCTAACCTAAGCCCTGACCTTAACTCTCTTAGCCTTACCCCAAGAAAGGAGAAGCTTTGGAGGAGGCAAGATAAAGCTACCTGACACTTCACGTGCAGAGATAACTGCAGAGAGATGCTCCATTTCCCAGCGAAGCGCAAACACTTTGTTCACAGCTAACAGGGTTAGCCACTGCTTCGGAGGCTGTTAGGGCTCAGCACCTCCCGCTCCCCGACAGCTTTGGAGCCAGAGCTGTCACCCACCCGGCAATTTCTCGCGCCGCGCTGACCGGCCACACGAGCGCTGAAATCGGATAAGGCATCGCCGAGAACATTTCTCGCGCCACCTCACTAACCCGCTCGGATTTAATTTCACTGCAGGGGGCACGTTCCGCTCCGGGAGCAGAAAGCGAGGAGAGAATCAGCGCCAGCCCCGCACGGAC